GAGCAGAGCTGATGGGCAGTCTTGTGATCTTCCTGATTAAAATGCTGCCTCAGGATATTACTCTCCCCCTCCAACATGAAACAGTCAATTAGCCTGTGATATATTCACTTAATAAAGGCTTTTTCTTATAAAATATGTCAATCCAAGACTGGTTCTACTTTTACCTTGAAGTGACCTTACTAAGAAGAAACATGACAGTTAAAGCCAGTCTTAAACTAGCTCAATACTGGCATCTGAGGAAGCAGAAAAGTGAGGTAGGAGACAGGTATATTTTTCAATCCCATCTTAATGCTTAAAAATCAATAAATAAATACACTTTCATTATTAATTTTATGTATATATATACACATAGACACACACAGCTACACTTACCTGCTACCCACAGCAACCTCTCTACAGGTACAACAGCACATTAAACCAAACAGAGCAAAATTCTGTTCACGGCATCAGACACAATGGTGTCAGATGACCATCAATGGACGATTCCCAGACCAGTCTCTTACACCACGTAAAAAAAAAAGAGTCATTATTGAACTGCCTTTGTGGACCATCCACCCCCAGCCAGAACACCATCTCAGCAAGATGATCACACCTTCTAAGCAAGGATGATCACAGATGGTCCAGCCATGCTTCTCCACAGCAATGTCCTGCCTCCGAGGGCCCAGTGAAACAGCACTAACATACACGAGAAGCGGGGACAGCTCCATGAGTTTTAGAAACTTACCCAACGCCACCACTGCTCACCATCTCCTACCAGTTCATCAGCAGGAGCAATTGGTAAATATGCCACAGAGCTCCTTAAAGACAGCTTAATGAATACCCCGTATGCTGTCGGAGTCCCGAGTACAGAGCGCCATCCCAGCATCCTAATTCCTGTCCAGTAAAGCAGAGCACAGTCTCTGCCCCACAAAAATAACAAGATAAAGTCTCTGCTCCCTTCTCAAGTAGTAGGCAGTGATCTTCACATCTAACACTAGGACACCTTAAATTGTTTCACGGAAAAACATTTGCATTTTTGGATGCATCTATGGGACTTCCTGATACACTCTATTTAGCAGAGACATCTGTTACTCAATATATATATTTCATCTAAATCCCACCCTCTGAATCATTTCCATCAGTTGTCACTAATGAAGCTTTGTGTGCAAAACCAAGTGCATTCTGCCCCCATTAGGAAGCCAATTACAGCAGGAAAAACAAGCAATTAACAAGGTGCAAAATAAACATCTTGCCACCTGCCTTTTAATAGCAATCCCACTTCAAACAAGTCACAGTCTCAGCACAGCTTTCAGAATTGGCAACTGATATTATATATGTATTTATGCAGCAGCTGTTCTTCATTGCAACAAATATTACAGGCTTACCAGATAAGGTCAGCATATTTTAAAAAAACATATAGCAAGTATTAAAACCTGCTTTGAGGCCCCGAATGTTGCTTTTAATGAAATCAGCAGCATCAGGCGTGTCTGGTATTACAGTGAAGCTGCAGTCACGTCCCCAGCTTAGAGAGATTTCTCCTCATTTCTACTTGCTTAGCAGCTTCTGTATTTGTTTTGCTAAATCCAGGGGCCTGAGCAGCTATTACACAGCGTGCAGGGCAACTAACAATGCAAAGCTCTACAGAGTAGACAAGTCTTTCTTCTTTCCATCATCTCTTCCTCTCCTTGGCTTTCTCCACCTCCCTACCATCGCATCACTATATCCAATTGCATTGTGGGGCTGGGAGGGGACAATGCCACCCACTAAAAAAAAAGAAAAAAAAAAAAACAAGGCGAAAACAAATCTAGATTCCAGCTTACTCTTTCCTCCTTAAGCCTTTATGCTTTAGAAGGGAAAGGAGGGAAATCCTTCCCAAGTCACACTAGCTATCTCCAGAGGGAGCCACTTTTCTTTCCCTTTTGTGGAACAGGATGAATGTCACACTTCTGAGTAGTTAACCAAGACTAAAGAAAGCCCAAGAGTAAATCTGCAGGATTTAATAACCTTGCAAGTGGAAAATGTGCCTGAGAAAACAGCAGCCAAGCTTCATCTTACATGTTTGCCTGTTTTTCAATCTTCCCCTCTGCTCTGGCTCTCTAGAGCTACATATTTGTTAAGCTTTCCATGTCACATTTCAGTTCCTGACTAATGTCCAATTTAAGCACTCATTTCAAGATTCATTCAAGTCTTTCACTCTTAGAGTCCTTCCCTCTCTGGCTCTGTTGAGATCTGAGGAGTAAAACACTGAGTATGGTACTTTTGCAACCACCTACAGGATTCTGGGGTGTTAGCTGGAGATGGAGTGAAAAAAGATCCTTCTCTAAATGACCACAGGAAGTGACAGGAAACAGAGCTTTTAACTCCAAACAGGGCCAACGGGGCTACCCACAGTTTTATAGAAGGTTGCAAGTCATGATCAATAGTAACAAAACAATCCTTCAGCGAAAAGTTCTTCTAAAAAGTCCTGAATTTAAACAACAATTCACTACCCTTGCACAACTGCTACCTAACTGGCAAGTCAGATCCTAAAAGACCCATGTCTTCAGTTCTGGTGATTATCTGCATGTATGCAGAATAAGCAAAGTCAGAAGAAGGGGAACACTGACAGAAGGTGAAAAGTGGTGAAAGGTGAAAATTTTCCAGACTCATATGGGTGCACACCTAAACTTGACCTACTGCAACCCACAAAGTAAAGAAAACTCCCAGCCACTGGCTTCTCACGCTACTAGTACAAGTGCAGAGATCCCACGACTGTTTCCTACAGCCATAATTACAGAGACAAGGTCACAAAAGACACAATCTGCCAACATGAGCTGCACGAGGTCATATGGCCACTCTAGCTATAAAAGTATTTTAAGAGTAGTTCAGTCAGTCAGGTCACTTCACTGACTTTATTTTTGTCTGTTTTTTAAACAAGCAGCAATATTTTCCTTTACATTTTGTGTGTGGGAGAACAGGAAGCAGGAGCTACTCCTTAGTCACCAGCCTAGTATTTCAGAGCACATCCCTAGCAATGCCATGGAGCGGTCATGTCTCGCTGCATTTTGCAGGTCTAAATCCACCAAAAATGCCAAAAAGGAGCCTCAGCCCAGCAGTCATGGTAGGACAGAGCCTTGTCAGCTTTCAGAAGTTGTTCAGATCACAGGAAGTCCTGCCCTGCATTAGCTAAGAAGTGGGATATATTATCTGCAATGCCCCACAGCAAAGCTTCATGTGACAGAAGCTGCTCCAGCTGCACATCAGAAAGGCAGCCCACAGCTCTCAAGCTTACCACAGCTCGATTAGTTCTCAAGCTTATTTCAACTTGATTAGTTCTAGGGCAGTCTCTTCCACTTAATGCTGAGGAGCTCCAATGGGTTTCCTGACCAGAAAGCTGCCTGAAGACCCAAAGAATCAGGAGTTTGAGGACTGCTGTTTGTTAAAGGTAGCAAGAGACCAGAAATGGGACAAAAACTTACTGTGAGAAAGCCTAGAACTACGCATGATTAGTTCTAGGAGACAGGACTACAATTCTTCCAAGGATGCTTAAAGAGATCTAATTCTCCAACTCTTCCAGCCCTCTTCAGAAGGATGCTTGAAGAGACCAAATTTGACTAAATACAACTTCAACAGGTGAGTGTCAACAGCACCCAGCTCACCTGAACAAGAGTTCAAAGGTGACAGTGCCACAACTGGCTCAAACTGCAGAGTCCCCCTAATCAACGTGAGCTAAGGCAATTAATCACTGACCCTGATTCTGAATAGTAACATGTGCACACTCCCTCTGCACCGCCTCATCTCTTTTAAACAGACTTCTGGGGTTTGGCAAATGGTCAGACTAAGTAGAGGATACATGAAGTTAAGCAGAGAATGTTCTCAGTATGCAGCAGTCCCTGCAGGTCATAGATCATAAAAATCCTTACAATTCCTAGGATCAAAGAAACTACAGCCATAAAATACTATTAGTTCGCTAAGTCCCTCACCCAACCAAAGCAAGTAATCCAGAAAAGACGTGACAAAGTTAAAGTAATAGTGAATGAATAAGCCGAGTAAAATCGTGTTTGAAAAAAAGACAGTAAGCGAAGTCAGATACATGAACTAGGTTTGAAAGTTAAAATTCAGTTTTGTTCCTAAGAAATAAGCTAGCACATTTCTACAAGGCAGCTATAAGAAGCTAACCTACATCTAATGATGTGGCTTTGCCATGAAGCACCAGTGACAGCCCTTCTTTCTCGCTCCCAATTGCAAATTTCCATCTCCAAACACAAATGCTTTTCACCACACAGTTCAGTAAGAAAATTACTTTGGAGCCCTAGTGCTGAAAATGCATAAAAGCACAATCTTCAAACTCTCACACCCCCCACCCCCCAAAAAAAAAGAAATCGAAGGAGAAAGAGAAAAGACACAGTTTGGCTCCCGCTGGCCTACAATAACGATAATGATAATAATCTAGAGGTTGCAGGAGGTTTGTCTATCCTCCAAGCCAAGTCAATTTGCCCCATTCACAACTGTGTATAATTGTCCCTGGGACTGCAAAAATTACCGTCTTTTCACTCACAACAGTATTGTAAAAATGCTTTCAAACAAACGCAAACCCTTATTTGTTAAAACAAAACTATTTGCTCTTTTACGGTTCATGTTAGGTCTGGCATTTCTATGCAGAGGGTCAATAATCCAGTCGTTCAAAAAATAGTCACGAAAGACGTATTAACATAAGCTGTGCATTAAGACACATTTATATGCCTGACAGTAATGGCTCTGCGCTGTGCACTGTATCAACTCACAGATACTTTAGCATGAAAATAAAACACTTTGGGAGAATTTCTGCTCTCCCAAGGACAATTAGCATAACACTAACGCGGAAACGAGAGAGCAATAAGGACTGACAGAGTAATGCTTCATCCCAGAGTCTCCAGAACAGTAGTGCCTGTCCCTAAAGTTTGCACCCATCACAGCATGCTTCCCTCTACTAAGCGCACAGAGCCCGTGCCTAATGCTTCCCCAATCCTTAGATTAATGAAACACAAGTAAGCAGTTTCGAGATGCATTATCCTGTGCTACCGAACCTCCCCGGCGCGGGGTGCCCAGGGAGACCGGCCGCGTTGCCCGCAGCCACACTTCGCCTCCCGAGCCCGGGGAGCTCCCCTGGCCCTCGGACACCGGCGAAAGGCTCCTCTCGGTGCGGGCTGTGCCCGCCGCTGCGGAACCGCTCCGTGGGCATTCCAGGCGCCTACGGGGCACAGCAGGGCGGAGCAGCGCCCAGAGTTAACGGGACGGCGCCGAGTCCCATCTGGCCCCGGAGTTTGGAAACTCCCGGCAAACCTGCAGCCACCACAGCGCCCACAGCTTGGCCGGGACTGGAGGGCGCGAGTGCCTTCAGAGGGACACCGCCTGTCCGGGCTGTGGGAGCCGCCGAACAGCCACCACCGCCGGCAGCGGGAGCCGGAGCGGGCTGTGCCGCCGCCTCCCGCCCGAGGGAGCCCCGAAACCGCAGGCAAACAGCCCCAAAACCACGGGGAAACAGCCCCGAGACAGCCCCAAAACCGCGGGGAAACAGCCCCGAGCGGCCGCGGCGCCGCACCGACAGAGTCGCGACACGGCGACTACGGCGGATCCCACAGCCCCCTCTCTCCCTGCCCCTGCCGGCCGCCCCTCAGCCGGGGTCGGACCGGCTCTGCAGCCGCGGGGACACCGCGGTGGAGCGGTGGGTGGGCTGCGCGGGGCACTCCGGCTCCATCCAGCAGCCCTGCTCGCGGGTATCCCCCTCCACCAGGATGCCCGGGCCGCCGGGATGCCCACCCACCCTTCGACGGGAATGCTCTGAACGCCGAGATGCCCATCCACCTCCACCCCTCCGCCGGGATGCCCTGAACGCCAGGATACCCACCCACCGCTCCGCCGGACGGGGCTTGCGGGTGCCGCGCTGCAGCAGCCACCAGTTGCGCTTCCCGCCCGGGACGGCTGCAGTACCTCAGGCAGGACGGGACGCGAAGTCTCCCCAGCACGGCAGCCCCTCTCGCAGCGCAACAAGTGCGGCGGGGCGGGGGCGGCGCGGGGGCGGTGGCGGAGCCGCCGCTCAGCGCTCGGGGCGCCCCGGCTGCCACTCAGCTCACCGCGACACCGCCCCCCCGCGCGAGAGACACAGCGCCGTCTCTTGGGCACCCGGGGACGCCGTACCCATGGGCACATACCATCGGGTACCACTAGGGGGGGAGACGGGCCGCTTAACCTGCCCGCCCGCCGTGCCGGCCCGCGCGGCGGCGGCGCGGCTCCCCCCGCGTGTGGCGGTGGTAGCGCCCCGGCGGCCATCGGAGCGGAGGAGCCGCACGGTGGGAGCCGCTCGGAGGGGCCGGGCGGGAGCGGGGCTTTCCCGGGAATGGCCGGGCGGGAGCGGGGGATCTGCGGGATCTGCGGGCGGGGGGCAGGGACGGGCCGCTCTCCTCCGCGGAGCCCTCGGTTCCGGGCTCCCCCGGCCGCCTCCGGGCCTGTGCGTGCCCGGCCCTGCCTGCGGTGTGATCCAGCGCCGTGTGTCCCAGCGCGGTGTGTCCGAGCGCCGTGTGTCCCAGCGCGGTGTGCGGGCGCCGGGCAGGGCTCTGATGCCGTGTTTTGTGTCCCCGCAGCTGCAGCGCAGAAATGATCATCCCGGTCAGGTGCTTCACCTGCGGCAAAATAGTCGGGAACAAGTGGGAAGCGTACCTGGGCCTTCTGCAGGCGGAGTACACGGAAGGGTGGGTGTTTATCGGTGTGTTCCTTGACTCACGCTGTAGGTGCGATTGTGCAGTGCACAAGATCACAGAATTGTCTCCTCTGGAGAGCATCTGGTCCAGCCCCCCTGCCAAGGCAGGGTCGGATGCGTTAAGTGCACGATCGCGACATTACAAAGTAGCTGTAGAGAGGCTGAAAACCACAGGTACATTTAACCAAAGGTTAGAAACTGTACTAGGCAAGAAAGCACTTGTTTCCCCACTGAATCTTTCAGGGCAGTAGTACGGAAGTTGCCAAGTCACAGCCTTTGTACCCAAAACATTCTCAAATATGTAACTCTGTGCTGCTTGTTTCTTCCATACACTCCACTTTGACATCGACTGGTTTTTACAGGGAGAGAAAAGAACAAGTTACAAATTTGAGAAATAGCTAGCACTGTTAACAAAGTGTACCCCTTTTAGGATTTTTGTTTTAGAAACTTCATATTGGCAACCCCGGAATTGCTAACCTTACTTATAAGCGCTGGTTTGCCGGGGAAGGGGAAGTTCTAAGTACCCGATTGATAGTCCTAAGGTTTCTGTTTTAAGAAATCCGTGTGTGCTTTGTGCAGCCAGAGTTGTCTGTTAATAATTCAAGGAGGGTCTAACTATGGTCAGACTACCTCAGAAGCTGTGAGAAGGAAACTCTTGAGAAATACTTACATTGTCACCAAGTTTAAGTATGAAGAAAGAAAAAAATCCGTGGATGTCTGCTATTCAAAGGAGTGAAAATGAAGTTAGAAATTATGTTGAAACTGTTGGGTAGAAAGAAAGTGGTATTTGCTTTGCATTCCAATGGTTACAGATCCTAAGAGTTCATACACATAAGTCCCTTTAAAAAACTACTGGAAGAACATGTATCAGCAACATGCACTGCCTTTTCTCTAAAGTAAAACTGAAAACATTCCCATGGTATAGGACACTATTTTGTCAAGGAAAGCTTTGATTTTTGAGCCTTATCTAAACTTGTAGAAAGTTGTGGTTATCCGCTGTGCTCATTCTTTGATGTGGAGTTTGCAGGGGAAGGATAGCCTGTCCCCCTACCATTTATCAGCTCCATTAAAAACTGTCCACTGAAAATCTTCTGGTAGTTTTCCTAAATCTCATTACTTCTGTGAGTGGCCTTTTTAGAGAGTATTTACATCTTAGAACTTGCCAAATATAGCAGAGTAGAACTTTGTAGCTGCTAAATGAAAGGGATCTGTAAAGTTCCTCCAGATTTTTTATTCTTTCATTTAGGGAGTTAAAAACATTACAATAGTTCAGGGTCCTAATCGTTTTTCACTAATACTGAAATTTATCAGAGCTATTCTGATAGTGCTGCTGACTTATTGTCCAGGGATTGCATTTTAACATTTTCCCTGTCTTCATTATTTCTCTGGGTTTGCATAGAACAGGAAGTTGTATATTGTCATTGACAAATGCTCACTTGAAAACAATTGCTGTGGTCACTGGTGTGATTCTGTGGTGCTTGTTCAAGCTAATACAGTTAGGGTATTGTAAGAAGCAGACTTTACAGATATCAGACAGTTAAAATCTTCCAGTGCAGTATTAGAATCAATGGTGGCTTAAGAAATGGATGGAAAAAATGGAAAAACTTGTCTAACGAATTAGGAGTTAAAAAAGACACCCACAGCTTCCTCTTTGTCCCTTAAAAGTGCTCTTTTTTCACAAGTCTTTGGAAGCTGGAGGCAAAGGGAAATACAGCTAAAGTTGTGTCGGTTAAAATGTATAGTATGACTTCTGGAATTCTGATTAATGTTGGTATTTTGCATCTCCATTAAGTGCATTTAGAAGTTCAGGACTTCCCAGATAGCTCTTAAAACTTACATGTCAACAGACATCAGATGCTTTTGTTCTCAAGTGTTTTGGAAAGTTTAGATATCATGTGATGTTATTTATAAGCATTCTTGTGAAAAAAACCCACAGTGTTCATATACTTCTCTTAAACAACTTTTGCAGGTGCTAGTCCCAAAATGAACAGCCCTGCTATTTAAGCCCTTGAAGAATTGTGGATAGTCACACTATCAGCAGGGACTAACTGATACCAGAGAAGTTGCTGCAGTTTGACTCCTGCAGTTAAGACTGTACTGCTTGAGGCCAGACAATCTTTTTTTAACTTATCCAGAGGCTTTCTTTCAGCCATTGGTATTTTAGAAAAGTATCCATCGGCTTCTTCCTACAGGAGAATTACAGGTTTCAGGAAATTACATTTGTTTTAAGCAAATGCTTTATTATTGCACTGCATCATATCAACCTAAAGACCTGAGATCAGTCATATGTTGTGAGTGTCAAATTCTGAAGTAGTACCTGACTGGCTTTATGGTTAATAAGCTGGAGTTAAAAGAGCTTGGCCGGTGTCACTGACCTTTAAGAGGTCTGATAGTGATAGCCATGGAAGACACATGCAGTGGTTCAGGCTAAGATGACTCATACATCCTCTACCCAATGATAAGAATCTGGAACAGTCACTCAGAAGGAATTAAGTGAAAAGCCTGTAAAACACAGGCTTCTTATTGATCAGCCAGCACATACTTATTTGTGGGGAGCAGGTTGTATAACTGAATGCCACCTTCTATGGGAACTGGAAAGGATTTTAGCCTTTCTCAGAATTAGCATCCCTGTGTGGGGGAGTTTGCATTTTGAGTTATTTTAGTTTCTGTGTATCTCACCTTTTTAGCATGGCCTAGATTACAAATTTATCTTGTGAAATAGGCAAGTATCATGCTCAGTTTACAGAAACAGGTTGTAACAGTGCCCTCTGAAAGTTTGGTTGTTGTGTCAGCTGGACACCGTCTTTGGCAGCAGGTCATGTGCTGTGGCAGGCCAGAGAACGGGCAAACACCCTGTGGACAGTAAATGGAAAAGAACATTAACAGCACATGCTGAATTTCTTTGTCTTACTTTGAACTGCAAACGAATTTTCCTTTATGACTGAGCTCAAAGTAATCAGTGTGTTGCTTAGGAAACGCTTACAAATGGTTCTGACTCACTTCATCCATTATTTTTTTTAATTGTTGTTCATTGATAGAGATGCCCTGGATGCCCTTGGTTTGAAGAGATACTGCTGCCGCAGAATGCTCCTTGCCCATGTGGATCTGATTGAGAAGCTTTTGAATTATGCACCCCTGGAGAAATAAGATAGAAAAAGTACTATGCTGCAAGCCATGTGGAACGGTATCTCTAATTCTAAACTTGAAACTGGACTTCAGGCACTAAAGGATGAAAGCCAACTGTAGCACAGCCATCGAGAGATGTTTATCTTCTGGATAAAATACTGCCCCAAGCCACTACCGTCTTTCAAGGAAACAAAGGAAAGATGAAGTCCACTCAACCAAGATTTGGAGATTTAAAAGTTGGGATGCTTCTTTTTCAATCTGTGTTTGGAGTTGTTTTGTGAACTTTTAGATGCTTCTGCCAGTAAAAATAAATGTTTGTTCATGTAGAAAAATTATTATATTTCATTACAATGTTGAAATAAAGGAGGTCTTTCCTCGTAGCCTTCATAGAGTTTCTGGATAAAGTTAAGCATACGCTTCAGTGGATCTTGCCCTTTGGTTGTGCTGGTTTCCTTGAGGTGAGGGATACTGCCAAGCACCCACTTCAGTGTCCTGCACTAGGCAGGCAAGGGTGGGAAATGTAGGACCAGACTCAGGTTCCAGTGACACAGAAGTGGATGAGCTTGTTTGGTAAGACTGAGGCATTACTCTGGAAAGCTGCTGGAGCCAGCAGAGTACACTTTCCACCACATTTAAACTCAACTTGCGGTCTCTACCCCAATCCTTACAAAACACTGGGGCTGCTGTATCTTAAAAACCAGTGAATCAGATGGTGCAGTGCCTTTGCTGAGGTAAAACATGTGTGAGTGTTCCCATGGAAAGCACTGGATGTGAGAATTTACGCGTGCTGGTGTGAACAGGATCAAAGTCCTGATCCTGCCAAGCACCTGCACCCCTCTGTAGCTGGTACATACGCAGGCTTTCCACTTGTTAGTCATTTCACTGGCTTCACGTTGTTCTGCGCGTGTGGTGCGGCACTGCCTGGCCAAACCGAGAGCTCTGCGCTCTCCTGGTGGCATGGAACAGGGAGAGGCCAGCTGTACCTGCAGGGCTTGGGAAGGCAACCTACACTGAGACAGGCGCTGACCCTGCAAAGGGTCTCACCTTCCTGCTGCACTATCAGCCTGTAAGCTGGACCACGTTTCACTCTGTCCTCTGACATGCAGAAAATGCAGCGTTCTGGGTGATGTGTGCCCAGGCACACACACCCACCTTACCTGAAAGGGAAGGAGGCCCTTTGGTACACCTGTGCACACTCAGGATTCTGTGCAAATGCAGCATTAGCTCATCCATTCCAGCAGCCTTGTAGAGAATGGGCTGGCAAAGGTAATAATCCCTTAGCTTGCAGCCTGTTGCTCCTTGGTGCAGTTAAAACTTTTGGCACTCACGTATTGGCTGCAGGGTTAAGAGGTACCTCTGTGGATTCTTTTCCGTAGTTGAAGAACTACAGAGGAGTTGAACAAAACCTGGCTTTCCAAAAATGGTAGTTATTTAAGGTGTTTAATGGGTCAAACTTGTACACACAAACTAGATTGTCTCACAAAACAAGCATCAGGACTGCTTGCCTTGGGATAGCCTATCACCCCACCAATCTTTACACTTGAACTTGCTTTTCAATTTACTAGGAGGCAACAGGAGATGTTTCCCATATTCAGCAGTTCTTCACTGAAGACATTTTAAAACTAAAAGCTTTATCCTAACACAGAGAGAATTAAGCAATTAATTCTAGCATTTGTTTCATACTTGGTTGGGTAGCTTATGTTCAGCATGCCTGCTGTGTTAGCCAGCTAAACGC